AGCATCAGGAAACTGTTGACAGACTTTCAGTCCTGCTCTTCTCTTAAACTAGCAAAGGTTAAGCCATCTATCAGATTAAAAAAAATACCTAAAGGCAGCAAAATAGGGAATTCTGGCTTCAGTCTTAGTTCTTCGAAGTACTGTTTATTTTCTAATTGAGTGGATGAATTTGCATGTAGGACATGCCCTACCATGGATTAATTTTATATTTTGGGATGAATTTCAAACTTTAATTTTAATGCTTGCGTGTAGAACCATGTTTGCTTTTGCTGACTCAAGAGTGGAATGGCTTGGTATCAGAGTCTGTGTTCCTGTTTGTGTGAGAGATGGATCAAAAGAACTATAAAAAAACTCTTGCGTTTTCTACTTAGGGTATATTAGTTCCTTAGGTATTCCAATAAGCAAAGTCAAACTCTTAATCAGCAATGGGTATTCTTGGAAATACTGCCAGTTATAATACATAAAGTATACAAAGAATGTTAGATATTTGTGGAGTGGCAACTTAAGTGTCTTGTATTCTTCTTTAGTTACTGAATTGAAATTAAGGTTTCCATCCCTGCAATTCAGTTGTTCTCTAAGTTGTGAATAAATTATGGTGAATTCATCGTACAGAGTTAGCTGTGAAGTAATCAGAGGTACCAGCTCTCTAAAGATTGGTAACGGTGGAGGTGGTTGAGAGAAAAGAAAAAGAAAGAAATGGATTGCATTAGAATAAAATGCAAACAAACTCATGAGAAGCCTGCCTACTTTAAAATAGTTTTTTTTATGTGCTGAAACACAGAAGATCTGTTTGCTGTGGGAGAAGAGCACACTCCCTGATATGTCAATGTGCTGACTGACTGCAGACAGAAGTTGCAGAGGAAGGAGGGTACAGCTGGGAAACTGAAAGTTTCTGATGACTTCTTTAATTTGACTGTTACCTTTTGCAAGGCTTCTTGAAAAATGAATAGCTTAAAACCATTCTAAGAGAATGGAATTTTTACAAGCTGCCATGACAGCCAGTAGAGTTCTTTCTTATTGTGAGCAGATGCTTAGAAAGGTGTAGCATTTGCATAGCAAAGGTAGTGTACAGTGGGTAATGGAGAGTTGTGAATCTAGCATTTCTTCATACACAGAGTAAAAATGCTTGAAACTTTTTTATAGTTGGTGAGACTGGAAGAAATGTCTCTGAAATGAAGACATTTTCTTTGAGAAGATACTTTCTTTTTGAGTGAGTTCTCTCAAACATGAACCCCTATGTCTTGTGTTCCTCAGTGTCTGAGCAGTTGCTTCCTCTCTATGTACTCGTAGCTTTCCTAACCAGAAAAGGAAATACACAAAGCTCTTTGGTTAGCTAGAGTCATGCTGTATGCTTTGGCAACAGTTGAGATGATGGCAAGGTTGTTCATGCTTCCTTTTTGCAAATAAGGTGATGGTGTGAGGGGTGTTTTGAACTGTGGCATTTGAATGTGGGGTGGACAAACAGTTTTCCTGTGTGTTGAGGCATGAAGCGTACAGGATTAAGTAAGTGTGGTAAACTTCTTGGGGTGCTTAAAGAAAGTCTAAATTCATCCCAGAATAATAATTGTCCATTGTCTTCAGAACTCATGAAGTTTGAGTTAAGTAGTGAAAGACATAAATGGCAAACCTCTAGTGGCTGTGTTTGTGGGAGTTGGGGAGGAGAAACTGAGTAGCAGTAGATCAGCCATCTTCTCTTCTTTGTACAGAAGGATCCTGGAAGAACTATCCAAATGGGTGAAGCTTCAAACAGCCAAAGGTAGTTTGAGTTCTTGAAAATACATCTGATTTTTCATGTGCGAGGGAGTAACAGGTCCCATGAGTGGGAAAGTGACATTAAAATACCACATACGTGCTTAAAGCTTTACTGACATAACCATTGCATCTGACTGCCATCAGGAAGCTAAGGAAAGTGCTTTGGTTATTTAATCACCGTTTTTGCAGGCAGTTACGGACTGGCTGGTCATAGGTCTGTCACGAAGAGCATCTGTGGTGTTCATCCAACTCTGAAGAGAATAGTTTATATGGCCCTTATGAAGGTTCTTCTTGTGCCCCCTTGTCATGATTTTTGTGACTAAAAATTTTAGACACTTGGTGACTACAGAGTGTTTTTAGAATGGGTGGGGTGAAAAATAATCTGTTTTAGTAACAAGTTCTTCACGTTGTGGGAAAACAAGTCTTGTACGAAAGGCTGGACACAGTGTTCAGGGTGTTCATGTGAGGTTCTGCAATGTCAGCAGTGTAGGAGGAGATTTAGCTCTGAGAGGACACAGTTTTTATTCTGCCATTCTGACTCTTTTCTTGGTTCACCTAGCTGTTGGATAAAAAAATACTGAATTCCATGGTGCTTTTCTGTTTTGGAGAGCTATTTTCTAGATTTGGATCCTGAATGGTTTGTTGGTCAAAAGTATGTGCTTATATTACAAATATTAAAAAGAATCCCATTGGACATTGGGCTCCCATTTTATTCTTAGATCAAATGGGCTCACACAGCGGTATCACCCATGGGATCAGAGTCAGTCAGTCTGGCTGCTGTAATTCCTGTCCTACAGCTTTTTTTATTTACCATGCAGGCATGGAAAGCTGTCGTAATATTATAACCACTGTGTATATTAGTGTAGAATATTAATAAATAAGAACAAAATTCTTGTTTCAAAAAGAATACTCTTATAGTTAAGAGGAAATAAGGACTTTAATTTACATTTCAGCATAGGCTCTGGGCTTCTGTTATTTTCAAGAACACTTTATCGGGTATACTGAAGATGTGAAGTTCATATACTATATTTCTGTTGGAAGACTTCATCCAAAACGAATAACCTAAAACCGTTCTGAAGATATCTCTTCAAATGCTTCAATCAGTGCTCATTGCTCTTGATAGAGACTCTGGCCCCAGGAGGAGATTGTACCTCTAAATCTTAGAGTTTAAAATGTTGTATTTGCCAGTGCAGAGAATAACTTACCCTTTCTAAACCTTTTAGAGCTTTTAGTAAGTATGGAAAAATTATATTAGATGCTAACTTTCCGTACATGGTATATTACTTCCATATGTCAGTGTAGCTTGAATTTTGCAGGCTGCAGCAGTCAAAATTGAGGTTAGCTCTGAAATTTTGATGCCTGTAAACAAATTTTGTCTTTACAAAAGCTTATTTGTTCCTAAGGATCATTTTTGCTTTGTTGAGTTGCTTCCAGCTTTGAAACAACATTTATTTCAAAAGCAGTGATATACCACAGTGGAAATTATATGTGTATATATTGACACACATACATACAAATTGAAGCAGCAGTTCTCTTATACATTGGTTTATAGGTGGGCTGGTTGAACTCTCACTTGTTTTGATTGTGGAGCTGGTGAAGTATCCTTTGGAAATTAGTCAGTTTGTATACCAGATCAACAGAGCTTGTAGATTTTATTAAAACCTTGGGTTTATTTTGGAGTATTTCAAGTTCAGTGGATAAATAAAGAAGTGGAAATAAACAAAACAAAGCTTATGCAAATAATAATGGCTTTATTGTTTATTATTTTGGATTATAAAAAAGGATTAGAGGGATTATGCTGCACTTATACAAGGAAAATAATATTTCAGCAACCAAGACAGATTTATTTTAGATCAAAAACAACTTTTAAATCAAAGACAAATAACTGAGAAGGTGGTACACTTATTTTACAATATAAAATTTAATTTTATTTAAGGTCTAGAATTCCTGTAACCATTGCTTATTACTGATGCTAACAGTTTGTAAGTATCATCTCTAATCTGTAATTGTTTTCTGGTTGTGCTTCTCATTTAGATGTCAGTGTGGAAAAATGAAAGCAGTGGAAGCAGATTCCTCAACAGCTGTTTTATCAGTTTGCTTTCACAGCTGTCCAACCTTTGCCATCACCTGCCTTTTTTTCTTGATTTTTAACATTTTTGTCCAAATCTAAAGTAATTATTAGTAGAGTTAACTGTAAGTGTGAAAGCTTTTCACAGATCTAAAATACAAATCAGGGAGAAATAATGCCTCATTGCTATAAACAAAACTGACAATATTTATAAAGTTGCTATATACTTTAGTTTTATTGCAGATAGTCAGAACAGTGTATGTGTAAAAATGAATTATTGTAGATTATTGCAGGACACTAATGTTACAAAACTGAAAAGTCAAGGTAGTTAATCCTTGGAAATCATGATTTCCTGTAGTTAATGACATGGCTGTAATTGAAATGTTAAATGTTTGTCTAAAAATTACTTTCTCGTAGAAATGTGAATCTCAAAACTATTCATAATTATTGTGATGATCTAAAACTAAAGAACAAATAAAACGATTCTAGGCTGACTATTCATTGTTTGTAATCTACCTATCTATGTGGATGTCTGATTTAAAACTGCTTCTTATATTAAAATACATTTTCTAGGGAATATTATGAGATTAGGCCAAAATACCCTTATGTTCAAAGTGAATCCAAACTCTGATGATAGCTTTGGACATGTTCCGAAGTCTTTTTTTCTTCAAAATGGTGTTCTTTTTCTTCAACTGGTAGGTGTTGTTTTGCTCACTTCATGAGCAATAATCTTTTCTTCTAAAACATTGGCCTGAAGAAAAACAGTCCTGGGCACTGTTTGTAGTCAATTTTCCTTTGAATAGCAAATTTGATACAGTAGCCTGGCACTTAAGGTAAACTTTATAAAATACAAGTTACTCTAATTGACATAGGTAAACAACATTTTACCTATATCTGTTTGTTACACACTGCAATCAATTTCCCCATTTGCAGTTGCTTATGGAGGTGGTGTTGTATAAATTTGTTGTTGTATAAATTCAGTCAACTGCAATGTAGGCTTTGCAAAATCTTTAAATTTGCCAGAATTAAGGAGAATTAAGACTGGTTTCCAATAGAGAATACGAAGGTGGATTAGCTGTTCCTCTTACTCTGACAAGGGATTTCTGGTTTTAATCTTTTTTTTTTTGTAATCTAAATGGAAAAATGAACATAAAAATCTGTCTTGTAGTGTTTCTACTAGTTCTCGGACTATGTCTCTGCTGTCACAGCTGGAGAAGATCAATTTGGGCTCTGTATTAGGAGAAGCAGACAATGCCAGATATGTTACCTCAAAGATCCTTCATCTGGTTCAGAGTCAAGGTAAGTATCCAAGTTTTGTGGTTTTAGTACTTTTCCTTTTGAGCCTTTCTTCTTGTATTTCTTTGTTGCGGGACTTTCGATTTCCGTTTCTGTTTGGTAAACTTCGTTATCCTGTTTTTGTCACTGATAGTTCGAAGTGCCCGTTTAAGGACATGTTTAAATGCCATCTGGTAAAGTATTGGTTACAAATTGTTCTCAAACAGCTATAATTTAAATAATAATTCATACGTATGAGAAGTAGAATTGTCTGGAAGAGAGATTTCTTACATTTTCTTTTGTTTACAGTTGGTGTATTTTTTTTTTTTGTTTTTCCTTAGGGCATGACAAGATTATTGAATAACTGAAAGAAAAAATCAGTTTTAAAATTACTTAAGTCTTTTACTTATTTCAGTTTTATATACATATATGCAGTTTTCAGTAGGCATTGTTATTTGCACAGTGCAGGTTTCTGATCAATCTGTATATGATTTCCCCCCACACACTTCAAGCTAGTATACTAAAAGAAAAATGGTCTTTTTCTCACTGGCAGAAAAAACCAGGAAGGAGATGACTTCTAAGGGCTCCACTGGAATAGAAGTTATGCTGTCAACTCTAGAGGTAAATCCTTTTAATCTATGTGGTTATGGGTACATAGGAAGTTTTCATTTTACCACTGGTTTTCATATTATTAAATATGTTGTTTAGATAGTCTTCAAAATGGGATTGTAATGATTAGATACAGTCTTTAAGTACTCTCTCTTATGTATAAATCCTGTAAGAAATAATATAAATATTCTAAGAAATTATTTGTCAACTATCAGTTCTAATTAATACTCCATACTACGAACCAGATTTTAATTGGTTTTGTCATTAATTCAGGCTGCATAGTGGGATGGTTAGCTGGGTGGTTACATTATAAGTTGATTTAGTGGTGGCAATTTCTTTAAGTATCTAAACCACTGTATTACACTTCTATGTTAAGCAAAGAAATCTCTGTGTTTTTATTGCAGAATACAAAAGATCCTCAAACTATTCTAAATATACTGAATATTCTCATAGAGGTAATTTCAGTTGGTAAGTTTTCATTAAGTAATAATTTGTGATTATATTGCTGTATTCTGTAGACTTTGGGTTTTAAGTTTTTGTGTTTGTTTTTTGGTTGGTTTTGTTGTCTTCTGATTTTTATTTTTTTTCCCCTGATATTTGCTAAAGCTGATTTGTATGCAGAATAAAAAGTGCATAAAAACTGAAGTCACCTTTCAAACAAGCAGACAAATAATTTATGTTGCTGTAAGCCTAAATCCAGCATGTTCTTGCACAGTGTACTCACATATGAAGAAAATATTGCTGTTTTAAAGACTTCCTTTATGATAACTTTGACTTAGATACTTAATTGTTCTTTGGCTTCAGAAATATCAGCTAAATTTTAATTCCTAGGTGGTGGTCGGAGGGCAAACATCTTGGTCACTAAAGGAGGGACGCAGATCTTATTGCAGCTGCTTCTGACTGCCAGCAAAGACTCCCCACCAAATGAAGAATTAATGGTGCTTCTTCATACCCTTCTTGCAAAAATTGGTCCGAAAGGTGATAATAATACACTTATATAATATGGCTTAATACTTTACAGTTTTAGTATTGACACTTCAGAAAATTTTCTTTCTATTATGGTATAAGCATCACCTACTCAGAATTAGTAGAGGAGAGCAATAGGAGTAAAGAGGGGAGGAAAGAGTGGTGAAAAATAGTTACCCAGCCTTGGCATTATCAGTAGAAGGAATTCACAGTTCATTTAGCTTTCATTTCTTTATAATCAAAATTAATGTGATTGATCTTGTGTTTCTTTGATGTCAGACAAAAAGATTGGCATGAAAGCAAGAATTAATGGTGCCCTAAACATATCATTGAATTTAGTGAAGCAGAATTTGCAGAACCACAGACTAATATTGCCATGTCTTCAAGTATTAAGAGTTTACTCAACCAGCTGTAAGTATTGCAGATAATTATTTTCTTTCCCACATGATATAAAATTTTTTATCTAGATATGGTTAAAATATTGGATCTAAATATTTGTTTAATGTTAGATGTTTTAATATATTTTTATCTGAGAATTTGCATTTTTTATCATCAAATTGCTTAAATTCTAATAAAAGCTGTGAAGCATGTTTGTACATCTTTTTGTTCAGTTTATGTGTGTATATATAGTTTATATAGTTGGCAGGGTTAACAGTGGTATTGGATGTGTGGAATTGAGTCATCTAATTTGCATAAATGGTGATGCTTTAAGATCTAAACTAGAAATGCTAACATTGTGCTTGCAAAAACACTTCAAATTAAATAATTGTTCTCTTTATTATACATGCTCATGGTTGTTTTGCTTTTCATTATTTCATTCTTGATTGCTGAATTGAAATAGGAATTACTGCTAAATTAAAACAGGAAATACTTTACTTCTTTATTTAATGTTTCCTTTATTCCTTGTGTTGAAGTGCCCTACTAGTGGGCTGATATTCTTCCACAAGAACCTAATTCATTGTCTGGGCAGGCAGTAGGAAGTTGATGAAAATGTGTGGTTCTTGCTGTATCTCTACCGTCAGATTCTCGTAAGTTTTTCTTTGAGTTCCAAATGGCTGTTAAACCTCTTAAAAATTGTGAGAAATTGAAAACATAACCGCATTCCTCCAAGAGATTTGATTTGATGATCTGTAAGTTATGTTTTCAGGACATTCATATAAGCACCTATAATTCATAAAGTCCAAATACTTTCAAAACGTGAAAGACTTAATTCTGTTGTGCTGTCAGATAGTGAGCTAATATGGCTCAAAATTTAAGAGTTTAAGACTGATAGTTACATAGCTTAACTGAAAATTTACTTCATCCTGAAAACAGGAGATTGAACTGAGTCTCTAATTTAGATTCTGCTTAGATCAGTTGTATGTTTCTGTGTTTCCCACTCATTCTAAACAGAAAAAAGCAGGCATTTATTACATTCTGATGTATATTTTGTTTAAATTTTGTTTAAAATTTTGTGTGCAGATACTACCAGAATAGAGTTCTAACTTTTCTTAGGTATCAGTGGTGTGATGCTGTTTATGGTGAAGAAATTCCTACTTGTGTTCAAGTAGTAAATTCTACAGTAAAACATTTGTGTTATGTTGAAGTCAATTTTTAGTTGCTCTCTCTCTGTTTCATTAGGAGTGCATATTTCTGATTTCAGTTGGGAACTGAATTTCTGTGCCTGTTTCAGCAGTTTGTATTTTCAGTGAGCATTTGGCTTCAGCCATACGAACATCCAGTGTCCATTTCTTGAGCATAGGTTTTGGTTGGTTCATTGGTTTTTTTTTGTTTTTTTTTTTTTCCTGTTAACATATATGCATAACATGCAGCTCAGGAAGTCTTGTATATATTGCCATTTCTAAATTTTACAGCAAACAATTGGCTTTCAAATCCGGGTGGACATAGCTGTCTATCACTGTACAGAAGGTTCATAGCAAGTCATAAAACTCAAGACTTGAAATTGAAGAAACCCCGCTGTCTTGATAAACTGTGAGATATTTTGGAAGAAAATTCTTTTTATGATATATCTTAAAGCAGAAGTGTGAGCTGAAATATGTACGTAATTTTATGTGTAAAGTAATAATTTTTTTCTTCCTTTCCAAGTTTTATCAGGATTGGATTGTCACACTAATTATGTTCAGAGTAGTGTCTGCTTGTCATGATATGTCTTCAAGCACAAACATGTCTAACATTTTTGTGCTTCAGAATTAACTCACATGTATTTTAGTTTAAGTAGGTGGATTTTTCCTTTTGCCTTTCTTATACTGTCTTAAAATGGATTGTTTTTAACTCTTCCAGCTGTAAATGCAGTGTCCTTGGGAAAAAATGGAGTTGTAGAACTGATGTTTAAAATCATTGGCCCTTTTAGTAAAAAGAACACTAGCCTTATGAAGTAAGTAAGGTCTCTTTAATATAATATATAGAAAAATATTAGATATGTTTCAAAACTTGTAAATGAAAAATAATAATAGAGAAATCAAATTTCATGTGTGTTTGAAAGTTAAAGGGAGTTTAGAGGGAGAACTACAAATCTAATAGTTTAACTTTACCTGGTAGAGTAACACAAAGTATTTTAATTTCTAGTTACAGTACTGGTAAAATAATATAAATGTTACTTTTTGTCCATAATGTTCCTGCATGGAAATCATATAATAGTATTACCCAGATCAGGACAAACGGGTCAAGACAGTCCCATCATTTTTCAATTTGTTGAATTGGCTGCCCCATTTCCTTTGTGTTTTTAGAGTGACGCTATTTTATTTTGTCATAGAATTTTCCTTTTATTTTACTTCAAAGCAATTCTAGACTCTCAGAGCAAAACCATAAAACAGAATAGGAATATCTACAGTATCTGTCAGTTGGCTATTGTGTTTAAAAAAAAAAACCAAAACTGAAAAATCATTTTGTAACTTAATGTGGTGATTTGAATTTCCCCTGCCCCCTCCCCCATTTTGGTGTTTTTTTTTTTTTTGTTGGGTTGGTTTATTTTTTTAAGAATTTAAGGTAAAAATAAATAAGTGGATAGCCCTTTCTTTATATACTACAACGTTTTTGAATTACGTAATTGGAATTTTTCATCTTGTTAGCAAAATAATACTCTTACATGGTTCATGTTCTAACTTCAGTACAAGTAAAACTTAGTGCTATGTTACCTGAATCTGGTATTTGTGATCACTGGAGTGTCTTTTTTAAAAAAATGCCCTGTGCCTTTAAGCTCCAGCTAAAATTAGGCATATGAACTTATTATTCCATGATGTGAGTAATCATGATATCCTTGTTTACAGGCTTCACACATCTGATTTCAGACTATCTATGCAAAGGGGGTAAAAATAAGTATATATGTTTTTGAGTTGTACAACTTGATTTAATTGAGGCAGGATCTTTGTGCACAAGAAAAATCTTATACTGACAATCTTGTATTGTAATACAGACTGATGAGCATTAGTTAATCTTTAATATATTCACGCAGTGCCAGTTTTCACCTATGGTTTTCTAAAATAATGTCCTTTGCTGTGTGGAAGTACTTGTTCTGCTGCTGTGTAAAGACATGATTTTCAGAAGTATCTCATCTACTGAGTATTGTTCATAAACATTACATTGTCATGGTATTTTTTTGCAAGGGCTCAAAGCTTGTACAGCCATTGCATTGATATTTTGAAATTTCACCACTGAATTTCAGTAATAGCAGAAATGCATGATATTTTATTTTAAATATTTTAAATATTTTAAAATCAAGTTTTAAAAGCAAAGTCTGTGATACAGTCAACCCGGAAAACATGAGGATAGGTGCTAAATAAATATATTAGAAGTAAATATTTTGTATAGCTTTACAGTGTTGCTGATTAAGCTTACTGGTTGGTTGCTGTTTTGACTTTTCTTTTTATGTTGAAGGGTTGCTTTAGACACACTTGCTGCATTGCTGAAATCAAGTAAGTGAATACAAGAAACTGTCTAGTTGAGATACATATGTGTGTGTATTTATATATGTATATGCAGAGCAAAACTAATATTAAATCTGTGGCCAAAAGAAAATCAAGGCTATGAAATTTAGAAATAAGGCTACAATTTTATCTGCAGTCCCTGGTGCTCTATAATTTGTGTGTTATATACACATATGTTTAAAAATCAGTTACTGTTTCTTCAGTTATGCAGCAGAAAGCCAGTGCTGATTCTGCAAAACTGATCTGGATATAGGGTGGAGAAATAGCCTTTTACAGTCACTGACCTCTTCAGTGCTCTTCATTAATAGTTATCTATAGCTTAACTCCTGTGCATCATCTTTGTCTGTCTGAAAATATCTGTTGGATGGCAGGGGAAAATACAGGGTTTCTTCAGGTACCTTTCTGAGTACTTAGGTCTTGGGTCCTAATGACAAGCCTGTCAGTGATGCTCATGAAGTAGAACTAAGGGTAACAGAGCAACAGTCTTTTCCCAGACATTACCTGTCTCAGCTGGCAGCAAGGGATCCTGACAAATGTGATCTCAGCAGATTTTGTACCAGCATTGTAACTGTCAGGGATTAAAATATCTTTCTCGCCAAACAGTTGTATAAGAGCTACAGCATTCCTAATTTTAGTGGATAAGAACTGATGTGTGATCAGATTTGCAGAAAGCCATTTCAGACAAATGACAGTAAAATTCTGTACTGATTATTACAGAGTGCTGAGTTTTCTCATGTTTGGTCAGTGTGATACCTTGGTTTTACAGATTTATGTATTTACTAATTTTGGACTGTCTCCTTGGGAAATTTAGGGAAAGAAATACGTCCTAATTATTGTCAGTATTCTGTTCTGTGAATTGGCAGTTAAATTTTAATGTTAAGGAAAGAAAATAAATTTATTGTGAGGTTTTACTCAGTCCTGAGGGATTTTGACATTGCAACTTCCTGCACTTTATATAAGTAAATCTTTTCATCAAACCACTAACCTCTGGTGTGAGAGAACCAGTTGTCATACTAGTTACGCAGTATTTTGGGTAGAGGTATTTTGATTTTATCAAATATGAATGATAGTTGCTGTAAAACTGTTTGAATTATAAGTGGTAAGACATTTGTTTCAAATCTTGTATCTACTCTGTCTGTGTGGACAGGTATGTTAAGAAAATATGTTATTCTGAGGAATGTAGGGTAGACTATTCACCTCATTTATTCAGTAATTGCTATTTAGGTAGATGTAAAACTGCTAAACATGGCTAATACTACTTTAAATTAAACAATTCAGTTACTTGGGTAAAAATAATAATTTTGATTTGAATTTTGATTTTATTTGAAAGTAATATTGAAGTCATTAAGCAATTTCTAATTTTCTTTCCTAACTTTTTTTCTTTTTAATAAAGAAACAAATGCCAGGAGAGCAGTAGACAGAGGATATGTGCAGGTGCTTTTAACGATTTATGTTGATTGGCACCGTCATGATAGTCGACACAGATATATGCTGATACGTAAAGGTGTTTTACAGTGCATTAAAAGTGTTACAAACATCAAATTGGGAAGAAAAGCATTCATTGATGCCAATGGGATGAAAATTCTTTATAACACTTCACAAGTAAGTTCATCTCGGTTGGATTTTTATGGTGTTGTTTTTGCCTCCTTGACTTAAGAAACAGATCCTTACCTCACATGTGTCATAGTTCTTTTATTGTATTAATGGTCATAGCTGATTATGGGGTAAAGGATTATTTTCTGTACTTGACTAAAGTGGAATGAAAGAGTAGAGAATTAGATTAATATTTGCTATTATTTGGCTGTGACTGTCTCTGAGAGGGGCTGTCAATCTCAATTTTTAAAAAGTCTTTTAAGTTTGAAGTTAAGATTTTAAAAATATGAATTTGAGCTGATTGAAATTTTTTTGGCCTTCAAAGAAGACATTAGTAAAAATTATTGTAAACAAAATGCCGTAAGTGATTTCTAGATATCTGTAAAACAAATGTAGTTTCACTATTAGTTTGAGAGATTCTTTTCTCTTTTCTTCATTATTTTCCTGTTAATAGGAGTGCCTTGCAGTAAGAACTCTTGATCCCCTTGTGAACACATCCAGCCTAATAATGAGAAAATGTTTTCCTAAAAATCGTCTTCCATTACCAACTATTAAAAGTGCTTTCCGTTTCCAACTCCCAGTTATTCCTGCCAGTGGTCCTGTGGCTCAGCTGTACAATTTGCCTCCTGATGGTATGGTAATTTTGTAATGTTTTGTCTTTGAGTATGTCTAACATTGCTTTATGTAAGGTGGAATCAATCACAGTTATTGGTGTTTTCCACTAAAACTTGGACTCTGAGACTCTTCTCAGACAGCAAGGGGTCTGTGGCTGTTAGTCTGGAGTGCCAATTTCTAATGTTAAGTTTTAACAGATGAAAATTTTGTCCACACATGTGTAGTTGTGTTTCTGAGAGACAAAAATGAAAACAGGAACAAAAATGCAATTTTCATCAAACTCTGAAGTGTAGGTTGTAAATACTAGCCTCAGACTTAAATAGGCTCTCTTTTTAACTTTCTTATCTTACACGTTCTCCCATGTGGTCTGTAATGTAGTGTACATTCCAATTTTAAGGCATGTTGATTTCTTTCTAAGGCATCCTTGATTTCTTTCTGTTAATCTGATAAATTGGATGTGGTGAGTTTTGATTAACGTGCTGTTTTGAAGCATTATTTTTTCGGTCATTTTGGTTATTCCTTCATTTGTATGATGAAGAAGGTAGAGCTGCTTTCTTGGATGGTTGCAGTCTCTTAGGCAACGCTTGTCTGCAAAACATTTCTATGCTGCTTTGTATGGAATAGATTCATCCATTTTTTTGGGCACCTTTCAGTATTTTTGGATAATTAATGTTTAATGCATTTTCAGATATGGTGAAACAGCTTGGTATCTGGGTAAGCAACTGATGAAGTTGCTGTCAGAAAGTTACTCTAAAATAAAGAGGCAAAGTCAGACTTCTGATATTTTCTTATTCACAATATCTCCTGAAACAAATGTAGGTAAGTCTGAAAGAAGACAACTTTCTGACTGAGTCTGCCTCAATTCAAATGGGTCAGACTCAAATTACAGGAATTTAGGGTATATTTTGTCTTCAAAGTAGAAAATGGATATAGAAGTTTGTTCCAAAACTGAATGGAAATTAAGCCTCTACTTAGTACAGTATTTTTTTATATTCTGTAGTATCTATTTTGAAGTAGACTACTGATAGTTTGGTTTTTTTTTGATACGTTTGTTATCTATCAAAAAAAGAAGTGAAAAACCTAAGGAAATGGGATATGTAGGATTTTGTTTTTAGGGAAAACTCATGTACCAGAAGACGTGTAGTATGTTGGGATGGGTACTGCTCGGAGTTTATTAAAAGTATAATACTATATAATCAGCATTGTAAAAACAATATGTGTAATCATTGTGAATACACTAGAAAATCAGTATAATTTGTGAACATTCAAGTGAGCCTTTTACTGACAACCAGCAAATTTCCTGCATGAGAAACAGTCTCAGAAAACATAAAAAACCCCAGCATTCAAACTGCATGGGCTTTCTAGAAAAAGATAAAATCTGCCACTAGTAAGCAGAATATCTGCCAGAACAACCAGTTAATGCCCACTTTCACATATTGGGTTGTTCAATTTTCATCAGTCATGTAAACAGTGAGTTTGCTTCTTGTTTTTTTTTTCTTTTTTGTTAAAGAAAGAGGAAATCCTGGGTCCTTCAATGTACTTGGTCTCTAACTCAAGTAGAAATTAGTAATTAGTGTGCAAATAGTTTCACATGTATAAAAAAATAACATCTGGCTGTATGTTTTGGAGGTAAAATTTGGTTCCCAACAGGTTACACTAAGCAGCTGTAGTGAGGACTCTCCTTGAGTGTTTTCGTTAGTAGGGCCCATTTAAGCAAGAAAAAAAAGGTGAAGAGGGTGCTTTGTCCCACTGTTCCCTGATACTAGGTCAATACCAGCTAGTATGGTTAAAAGCTGCGAAGACATCAATTATTTTTGGATGTGGTCATTATTACTACCTTTGGGAAAAGATGTGAGAGCTATCTCATTCTGTGCTGTCCTCAAGACATACTGAGATATTCTTGGCACATCCACACTGTAAAGTATTTCTAATGGCTATATCCTGACTTGCTGAGGTGTTTTTTTTTTTTTTGGGTGTTGGATGTTTTTTGGTTTTTGTTTTGCTTGTTTAAACCAGAGATCTTTGTTTTGACTGAAAACTGTATGGAAATGTAATAAATTGAGTCTGCACTATTGTCAAACAAGCGAGTTTTTTTTTGTAAATCTGGTAATAGTAATTAATATTTACTCATTGTTTTTCACATTTTTTTTCAAGTGGTAAATAAAAAAAAAGAAAATAAACCCAGAAGATAGAAATTTTTTTAAACATATGTATGGGATTAAGTGTATAATCTGCCTTGAAACTTTTTCTGTCACAGTGGATGATGTAGTAGATGAAAGTGATGATAACGATGATGCAGAAACAGAATCAGAAATGGAAACTGAAAATGATGATAAGGACCGACATTTCAAGGTTGGTATGAGAAAAAATTAACAGGCAAAAATCAGGCATAACAGTTTTTATTTTTTTTAAATTGCTTGAATCATGCATACAGCTATGTTTGCAGTGTTAAAATGACTTTCAGGAAGTTTTCAGGGCAGCTTCTAAAATTAAAAAAGTTCCTGAAACTTAAGAAAGGTGTATGTTTCTTGAAAATATCAGCATTTATTGCTCAGATTGTTTCAAGATTTTTATCAAAACCACTTTGCTTCACACTTAGTATGACTGGAGTACAGTGGAACAGAACTGCAAACTCTTAGCAGTATTCTTTTTATGACTTATATTTCTCTCAGCCTGCTCTTCCCACCTGAGCTGCTCAGTATGTAGTAGCTGCTCTAACTTTTCCATCAGTCTGTACTGGGATTGACTAGGTAAGTGTTTTAGCAAGGTAATATTGAAGTTCATCCAACTGTAGAGGTAGAGACAGACCTTGCACTGTTGTATCACTTTGGAAAGTCTTTACTGCTGGTCAGTACATCAAAGGGCATTTGGTCAGAACTATCTTATTCTGTATTTTTATGGTGCATACACTCAGGAGTTAATTGGATTGTCTGTCCATGGACTGGAATGGCAAATTATATTCAAGGCTGTCATGAGCCCTTGTGAAGGGAATATCTTCTACAGAAGCACTTACTCCTGTGACACTGAAGTCAGATGAAATCTCCACATTTGAGACTGCAGTAGTCGGATTATCATGTAGTCTGATGCCCATGTATAATACATTTGGATACCAGCAAGAAAATGTAGATGTTTGTAACAGTTCTGTTGAAATAGAAGCTTTGACATGCTAATAAAACTGAGCTGCTTAAACCTTCATGATGAAAAGTGCAGTTCAGCTAGTTTTAAAAGAGTGATACTCAACTTCTAAAGCATAGCTATGTAAGAAGTAAAAGTAAATATAATTATTTTAGAAGTTTATTAATTCTGGATGCAAGATTTGTTTGTTCCCCTGCTGTTTCAGAATGACGATATTGAGACTGATATTAATAAACTGAAACCTAGACAGGAATTGGGAAGACCCTTAGAAGAACTGAAAATGTATGAACGATTCTTTCCAGAACTTTCAGAAAACTTTCAGGTAAAGTATATGATTCCCAGGACATTCCTCATCATGATGGGTTGTCTCTGGAATACACTTTGACGTTCTTTTTTTGGGTGGAAAGTTCCTGTAGCCAAAAAATAAGAGTCTGCATATGAGAGTGCTAAAAAGTTGTTTAGTTAAATGTTACTGATTACTTTAATTTGAGTGATAAGGGGACTGTGGGCACATACATAGGAAAACTTTTCTGATGTCTAATTATGGCATACAGCAGAAAGTAACAAAGGACATAGGATTTTGACAGAGATTCATTGTATTAGGTATTTCCATAAATGCTGTGCACCTCTTTAAAGTAGTTGGTTAAAATATCTGTAGAATTGCATTGAGTTGATAATTTGATATTGATTAACTACTTGTTTGTCACTTTGACACTATCTTCTTGTAAAAGTTGAAACTTCATTGCTATGATTTTGTACGTTTAAAATATAATAACTGTCATTTCTTAAATTACACTTATTTGGACTATTGTAAAGCATATCTCAGAAATTATGAAAGGTTTCTGATATAAATGAAACTTTAGGAATGGTTTACTTCTTTTTTTTTTTAATAGTTTTTTTTTTTTTTTCTCTTTTATTTTTCAAGGAATGTGACTTAGTTTCCAAGGAACCAAAGCCTTTTATACCTGGTGCAAATCTGAGTGGACCTATTGTTGTTCCTACAGCCGGAGAGGAGTACTCTGCTGAAACAATACAGTCAACAAAAGGAATTGCTTTGAAGGAGGGCAATCCTGTGTTGATAGGGGAATACAGTAGCAGGCCAGCCTTTCTGGAACTACCAAAGAAAGATAGCATCAAAGACAGCAGTTTACATCAGCAAAATGATCAAAGAAACATATCTCTATCCTGCCAGTGTCTAAGCCAAGAAATTGTGAAAGGCTTAGACAGAATGAGTTTGCAGAGCAGTGCAAAAAATGATCAGTATTACAGTACAGCATGCGTAATAACGAAGGAAAGCAAAACTAGCCTTACCACACTTGCCTGTAGTAACCCATGTGAACATGTTTCACCCTGTGGAAGTAGCCTCTTTGAAGGATCATCTGTCCACCTGGGAAAACTCTGCTGCACTGGAGTAGATTCAGAGGGGGAGGATTCCACATCTAGTTCATCAGGGGAACAAGTCATGCTTGAAGTTTCTGATGTATCACCAGTTCATGACTGTGATCTTTATATTGAAATGGTAAAAACCACAAAGTCTATTCCTGAATATTCAGAAGTGGCCTATCCAGATTATTTTGGCCATATTCCACCCCCATTTAAAGAGCCTATTCTGGAAAGGCTATATGGGGTGCAGAGGTGAGTTACCGCACTCATTTTCTGTTGTTTTTTTCATTTGTTTGAGAAACAAGCTTTAGGTTAAGATTAACAGGCACATATATAATGTTTACTTTGGCATCTAAATTAACTTTCAGTGAAAAGCAGTTTGGAGGTAGGTGGGTACGCATTGGTCAGTGCAGAGCCATAAACAAGAGCACAATCTGATTCTGTAATTGTTAATTCTGTAATTCAGTTTCAATACCAAATTTAATTTATAGTCTCCCTTTCTGCCTTCTCATTGTGCCCATTTAAGTTTTGCAGTATGTAAAAGAACGAAACAACCCCCAAAAAAACCCAGGCAAACAAACCAAATAACCTACCTGAGTGCTCTCTTCAGGTCTTAACACAGATATGACAGTTAATAGTTTAAGATATTTTAGCTCTTTTTTTTTGCTAACAAAGCTGTCTTTCAGAAAAAATGTAGTGGGAAAAATTAGGAAATAAATACACTTACATGTTTGTTTTTAGTGTTTGCAGTGTAACAAATTTTAGAGGTAACAAAGGATGGTGCAGTTTGGGTTAGGTCCTGCAGAATGACACACAATAAATACAGAATGAAAAATAAACCACAAAAAACAATGCATCAACACACTTCTTTCTTCACTAAGAGATAATAGAAGATGGTGGAGGGTGATGTGACTCTTAATAATTTGCAGAGATAGTATAAAGAGCTGGCTCGTATGCGCAGTAAGTTCTAAAAAAAGATTAACATGTTGGCAGAATATGTTTGAGTAGTTATGAGACTTTGACACTTGCTTAATTATTAGATTGAATACTTTCAGCTTTATAAATTTAACCAGTTTTATGGGATTCTTCATATTTATGTTTAGTATTAAAGTGATTAAGAGATGAAGTGTCTTTAGGTTGTCTAGTTAGAATCCTCCAGGTGTTTCACATGTGTCATAAAAAAGTGATCATTCTATTGAAATGACCAAATGATGAAACATTAGTGATATAATAAATATAACATTACTAGAAAGCACCAGTGTTGTCAGAGAAGAATCCTCCCTATAAGCTTATTTTTTAGAAAGATTCTGATAAAGACAAGAGATAGCCTTGAAACAGAAATCACCTAAGAACTGCATTTTAAGAAAATCTTGCAAATTGTCATGTTGGTTTTGTAGTACTTAGTAATTCTGAATCTTCCTGAGTAAAACTGAGTGAAGACAGATAGAATTTGGCATTCTGATGCTCGTTCTTCTTAGATGTAAAGCACTGTATTAATTCTCACTTTTAACCACAAACCCACGAGTGTTTATACATAAAGCTGATTTCTATACCATGAAGGTAATTCTGGAGTATATTTTACTTTAACTCAAAAATCTCTTATTTTTGTTGTATCTTCTGTGTTGAAAGTAACTTTTTTAGATCTTGCGTGAAACAAGAATGAAATATCAGGTAAAATTGCTAAACTTGAATAAAAAATCCTGCATCACCTTTTTAAGGTATGCTATTCCAAGAATTCATTTTTCTACAAGTGACTCAGTCTCATTACTGCAATATGAGAAATTTCTGAGAATGGAACCTGTTTATAAAGGGCCTATTTTTTTTAGGAATTTATAGTTTATAGGAAGATGGTGAAAATTAATTTGGTAGGAGACATGCAGAAGTTTTTCAGTCTTCTACAAAGCTGTGTCTGAACTTTTGGCATTCAGTGGGATTTGTGTTCTCTTTAATGTAAACAGTTTTTCAGCTAAGTCTTAGAAAACTTTAGAAAACAAACAGTTGTCTTAATACGTCCTTGTAATTTAAAAAAATCTTGAGGGCTGAGGTGGGACATTTGTGGGTTTTCTTTATACTTCTGTTAGACAGATGTGATGCGGGATATTTTATTTTATTTTATTTTTTTTTTAGTCTTCCGATACGCTTGGAGCTGCAGTGTTTTTGAATTTGTGCTTTGGAGTGCCTTTGTTTTTTCATTTACATTTAGGAACATGTAATTTTCACAAAATGTGTCACCCGATTATTATCGTTTGGAAAAACATCATCGAGAATGACTGAAGTGTTTCATATTATTCAGCCTTTTGGGGAAGAAAATTTTAAGTTTGGGTTTAAATTTCTACTTTTTTTCTATTCCTGAAGTTTTAGGTTGTTTTTTGCTCTACACTTTAATTTTTTCTAATTATCTCACACTTAGAAGTCATTACCAGTTAAATCAGGATCCACAGAGGACTAATCTATAAACAGAGAGCTCCACATCAAAACCAGTGGGTGTTTTTGGTTTTGTTTTTTTTTCTTTTATTTAGTTATCTTAAATAGCTTCTCTTTCATCTTGATTTTTGGAACCTGAAAATGTCAGCTACTGCTTTTCATGTGCATCTTGAATACCATTTCTTTTGTCTACACTGATTGTTACTATGGGTTTTGAATGCCTGATATTAATGGATTTTGTCTTGGCAAAACTCTTGGGATGATAGGAAGTATTATGACCCCTTAGAGCTGAGGCGCACTGTGATCTACAGAGTTCTGTAAGAGCAAGTGCAAGATCAAAAATCTTTAGTTCTGCCCTGAGCGGAACCTGATCAGATAGATTGTGGTGAGTCAGCCTCTACAATTTTGTCAATACATTAGACTTGTGACTTGTTTTCCAGTTTTAATTTAATAAGAGGCACTGGAGTTATGCAGTTACCTTCTTTTTGTCATTTGTTAACAATGTTTATTTTAATTAAATGGAGAATTTTCAGCCTGAATGTACTTTACTGCTCTGTTCCTGTATTATTCGTTGTTAATCTGCCTCCTTTTCTTCTTATTGCAGGTGCTGTGCAAGCTTTTCGACACAGCTCTGCCACTATATTTCATTCTTGAACTGCAACACATTCTTACTTTTCCAGACCAGGACCTAGATACTGCCAGTTGTGCAATGGTTTTATGATCTGGATAAACATACACCTGACATTTGGCTGACATCTCCAAATTCACTCTTACTTGTTACCTAGTTGATAAATGAACCTAGATCTCCAGAGGTGAAAAGCTAGTGCACTAACACACTCACTGTACAACCTACTCTGTAAAACTCTTTAATTTTAGTTATGGTAGGACTCATTTAAGTTACTAATGTTATAAAGTGCTGTCCTTGATTAAAGCATTAACATAAATAATGTTTGAGTAATTTGTGTTTCTACTATAAAGTATGAAGTGGTGCATTTTTCTGCATAAGATAAAACCCATTGTGTGCATGAGAACTCAGTTCCCACACATACAGATAGTGGACTCGGTCAGCTGTGAATGCAGGTGTTTAAACTTACGAACACTTACAGTTTGTGCACATGAGGGGGGTGATGCTGCGATCTCTCTGAAAATCTGTCTCACTATCTTCATATCAACTTTGTAGTTTTTCATCGTTGTATGCGGCAATTCCTCTTTTGTATTTGGAAACAGTATTAAACAATTTAAATGAGCACTCTGCTTGATATTGTAGGACAAAAATATCTCAAGATATTGAAAGACTGATTCATCAAAATGACATTATAGACAGAGTTGTTTATGACCTTGATAATTTGAGGTAAGTTTTTTACCATTCTGAAAACAATATTCAGTGATACACTAAGCCTATTCTACTTTCTCTGTGGTATGATTTGTAATATTTAAAGCAGTACTATTGTGATGGCCTTCAATGAATGTTTAATGTAACAGTGTTTCTGCTTTCCAGGCTGTACTTAGAGGAGGGTTCAAAATAATTTCTGAATTATCTAGTGAGGGCTAAAATAATGAGTTTGGAGTTTTTTAATTTTTTTTGTTTTCTTATTTAAGTTTGTTCATTTTGGCCCCTTTTTTTACTTACAGTTGTTTGGTACCAGAGGAAGCAGATGTTTTGAAGTTTAATTCCAAATTTGAATCTGGAAACCTGCGCAAAGTTATTCAGATCAGAAAGTAAGATATTTCAAATTTTTTTTCCACACAGAAGGCCTTTTATTTCTGCTTCTTAAAAAAAGATGTATTTGGTTTTGTTAATCTTTAGAAACGAATATGATCTAATTCTGAACTCGGATATAAATAGCAATCATTATCATCAGTGGTTTTACTTTGAAGTCAGTGGAATGAAAACTGGCATTGGTTACCGGTTTAACATCGTCAACTGTGAAAAGTCAAACAGTCAGTTTAACTACGGTAAGATACATTTCCCGTACTTTGACAAGAAATACGCAGAAACGTATTAGACAGCTCAGCTGTTTCCTTCCCTCTGCCCTGAGATCAGCAGTATATTCATGTTGTCAGATCAGATTCTTTTTTAAAGCATTACTAGAAAATGTTTCAACAAGTTTCAGTTGAAAAGAAGTATCTTAAAACAATGGCTCTCTGTTTTCAAAATGAAGTTTTCTTGTAAGGGAGGCAAAAGCAGAAGAAAATTCCTGGTGGCTGTAGCTAAAATTTGTCCTAAGAGCATTCATTGAGTGGTGGGGGAGAGCGGAGTAGATACCAAAGCCTGTTGATCCACACAGGCACAAGAATGACAGCTGTCATCATTAATCCCTTTCTGAATAAACGTATATTTTCAGATGTGAAAGTAAGTGGAGACATTCTCAAACTGTATTGTCTCATTAATTGGAAGAGAGGCACATTATTTGAGAAGGGAAAGCAAGTCTCCTTTGAAATGCTGGGCATCGTATGTGACCCTTGCAGTCTCCAGCGAGTAGTGCTTGCTGCTTGTAACTCATGCAAAAGTACTGTCTTAGTGAATATGCCAGTCTTCTACTTTGTCTGGGGGGTGTAAGTGTCATTCAGCTTAAAACCATTTGGTTTGTGGTGTTTTGTTTTTTTTTTGTTTTGTTTTTTTTTGTTTCCCCCTGGATTTTCTGGTATTTGTTCTTAAGAAGGAGGAGGAAAAGCTCCCCTCTCTCCACCCCCAATCTCAAACTATTGGAACAGAGTAACACCATATTCTTCTTTCTCACAACTGTGCAATTCACATTGATAAAATCCAAGTATACCAGGCAGTTTGGCGAGTAATAAGGTGCTTTTACATTATTGATTAATTTTTATCACTTAGATCTTCATTCATATGTTGCATAAACTTCCTTGATAGTTACTTTTGTTTAAGTACACAGAATCAGTAAATGGATTTGACTAACTAGTAAATAATGCTCAATTAATATGTGTTATTTCCTACTCTAACTTCATATTAATAATTCACTTTAAATATATTCTCAAAAAAATGCAAACTTCAAAGAGTTAATTTTTAAAAAAAAACATAATTGTCCTGAAACATCAGTTATTTTCCAGCTATCCAGGTGAATGGATAGTATCAACTTTTTATATTCTCTTTGAAATTTTTTGGTAATGGTGAGGTGGATGGAGTGGGACCCAAGGCTTCTTGTAGATTACTATTCATGCTAACTACAACTTTCATTTAAACATTTAATTTTTATCTGCTGTGGGTTTTTTTTCTTCCTTTAATTTGTTATTTTCTGAAAATTAAGATGTTATGAGGGAAGAGGGGGAAGAATATTTTTTCAGCTGATTGAAAGCATGTACAATGCCCAGTCATTCATGAACTATATGATAGTGAGTAAATCAGTATAGGTAGTTTGGAAGCTGACAGTGTTGATGTGGTCTGTTACTGCCAAGATCTTGATGTTGTTATATATTAAAGTGAGATGTAATTTTTCAAGGTATGCAGCCCCTCATGTATTCTGTTCAAGAAGCATTAAATTCTCGACCATGTTGGACTCGTGTTGGGACAGATATTTGTTACTATAAGTAAGTACACCAATCAAACATGCAGCAAACACTGAAGATTAATATGAGGGACAATTTTTAAGGAGAAATGCTTGCTTCTGAGATTGATAATCCTATTTTAGTAGTTCTGTTGGGAGCAGAGTTTTCTTCCTGAATTACTATTGAGAACAACAGAAGTGATCAAAATACATAGGGTCTTACTTTGTTAGCATAATGCTAATATTTAAGCTGATCATCTTTTATACTTCTGTTAGAGATTGCATAGTGTTTAGAGAAGCTTTTAAGAAAATGTATGCGTGCATGCTTACTTGGAATCTTAATAGTGACTTCCAGTAATACAGATCACATGCTTATGATTAGACTTCCACATGCTGTGGTGCAGTCATTGTACACCAGTCCTGGAGCACAGGATGAGATAGTATAGCATATGCATGCATTACCCTTTTTGGTCAGTATGAATGAATGTGTGTCATAATAAAGTATCTTTACAAAGAGTGGTAGCCAGTGTTTTTAACCTGGATGTACATAGAAGAAAAACACAATCACTGAAAACATTCCTGGCTCTTAAAACGTGTATTCAGGAAGAATTGCTAATATAAAAATATTCTGATGTGTTTGTTACCTTCATTTTACTCTTAGGAATCACTTTTCAAGAAGTTCTATAGCTGCTGGAGGTCAGAAAGGAAAATCTTACTACACGATTACATTCACAGTGACTTTCCAACATAAAGATGATGTCTGCTACTTTGCTTACCATTATCCATATACATACTCAACTTTAAAGGTAAGAAGTTTATGATCTGTAACATAGAAAAATATTTGTACTTTCGGGCAATGTGAAACGTAAACATTCATGAGTGAATTATTTATTTTTATAAAGGTCAAAATGCTCTTTAAAATGGAGAATTTTCATAAAATGAGAGTGTTTACACTGGTGAAGAGTATAGGTTATTTTAAAGAACAGTCCTCGGAAAAATAAAATTGATACTTGTAGGCTAAATGGGCTTTCTGGGAATTGTAATTCATAATTGACTGGAAACAGTGCTAATTGGGTAAAGCATTTATGTTTTGGTCAAATGACTCATATCCTGCTGTTCTACACATACCTCTTCATAACTGACCTATTCAAGTTTCTATATTTAAGACAATTAGAGACATTTTTAGGATAATGAATTGGCGAAGAGTTTTGAAGCTTTTGGTACTAAGCAAAACTTTTGGCTTGAGTATCTGTTGGGTTCTTTCTGTTGCAGCAGTAAAAGTGAACTTGGTAATTCAGAGGCCAGTGTGCAAGAGCACTGAATAAAGGTTTTTACTAGACCATGCTTGCTCTTGGAAGTGGTACCTGTTAAGAGATGTTACAAAAGGCTGCTGCCTTCAGCAGCTCTGAGGCTTGGCAGTTCCTTCTGCCTGGTTGGTGGAGCCCAGCCAAGGGACCTGGGGGTCTCTGTCCCAGGCTGGTAGACACAGCTGCTGCTTTCCTGTTTGCTTGTAAGTTCAACCACTAATGGATCTGTGTGTCCCAAATTGAGAGAGACAGACACACACACACTTGCACTTCTCTCAGCCTCCAGCATGGCTGGCTACACAAACTGGCGCAGACAAGGTGCTGCCTTCAACTGCACCTGTGTATAACACTACCAGGGCTTGCTTGAAAGATAATTGCAGACACTCAAGTCCCTTTTCATCTCTCCAGCTGGTACTGATTGCTGTTTGCTACTAGAAGTACACACACACCCTCTCTCTAGAATCACAACACAGGCACATTTGTGGATGACCGGCATGGCTCATCCGTGCCAAATCCCTGCCTAAATTCCGTCTCAACCTGCTGCACAGGCCTCCAGCTGGCAGGCTAGTCTAGCCTGATGCTCAGTGTCAAACAGATGTCTGTACTTGCACACTCATCTCATATGGACTTCACACTTGTGGTTCCTCTCAGATGCCAGCATGGACTGTCTGCCCACTTGATACCCCTGCCTCCACCTGTGGCCTCATAATCATAGTCCACCTTTGCTAGCAAATTGCACATGCAGCCCTTCTGCACAGTAGGTTTGGGGAAGGCACATATGATTGCTTCTGTCCCCAGCAGCTGGCACCAGGCGCACTGGCTTGTAACCTATGTCTTTACTCTGAGGAGAGCACTGAGACACTTCCCTTGTTTCACTTGTGCTTCTCACCCTAGTAGCTGATTTTTGGGGGACACACTGTTCTTGCCGCAGTGGCTGGACACCAGGATCCTTACCCACTCCAGTACTTGGCATTGAGGCACCATCATGCTTTTGCTGGCACTGCAGACTGAAGGATGCCTACATGGCCTACAGCTTCAGCTGCTGGCACCAACTGTGCTTGCCAAAAGTAGCTGGAACTTTGGACACAAAGTCTGTGTTTCTCACAGAGATGCTCCCAATAGGCGTGGCTTCTCCAGCTACTGGTGCTGAGACATTTGCTCACTCCAGTTGCTTATCCAAAACCCACTCAAACCTGTCTTGTTAGTTGCACCTAGTCCCCTTAGCACTTGCATGCACGGGATAGAGTGAGGCTGCACAGAGAGATAACCAAGGGCAGACTGCAGGGATCAGGTGCGTAAGTTTTTGTGTAGTCCCACAGGCCTCCCTTGAATATCTCCAGTCCTTATGTTCTTGTTTCCTCTTTTTCCCTTATGTGTCTCTCTTCAAGGTTTGCCTGTAGATTCTTAATGGGCCTTCAGTTAGAGACTTGAGACTTTGGTCTTTGCTGTTGTTTCTGTTATGTCTTGTCTACCAGGATTGTTTCTGTTCCTGTTTGTTGCTTCTCCCGTTATTATACTTATTTATTTCAGTGCAGAACTGAAAAGTCCCATACCAGATAACCTTAATGACGCAGAGGTTCTTACCTCCCACATACCCTTACAGTATCATTTGGTAGAAAATAAAGCACCCTCTGTGCCTTTATCTTCCTCAAAGCAGTTGGAGAAATAGACTTTATAGAGACAAGAGGTGTAGAGAATGATATTTTGTAGTCAAAATTATGATCAAACTTTAGAACAACAAAAAGAAAGATTAGTGGAATATGTTGTGATATGTGACTGCAAAGGATTTCAAGTATTTTTTCATTATTTTTGGGATGAAGATGCATCTTCAGAAGCTGGAATCTATGCACAACCCGCAACAGATATATTTTCGACAAGATGTTCTCTGTGAGACTCTGGCTGGCAACAGTTGTCCCTTAGTCACTATTACAGCCATGCCAGAGTCTAATTACTGTGAACATATCTGTCAGTTCAGTAAGTATGATTCTTATTTCTCATCAACTGAAAATAATCTAAAACTAGCTCTGCATGAAAAGAAAATTAGTATTAACTGTTGTGTATCATAAAATAAGTTTAATGAATTACATTAAATTTAGAGGTGTTAATATTCAGGATTTGCTTTGTATTTAATATTTATTTGTGGTAGTCAAGGATATTTATATCTGGATATTAAAGAATATATATATTCATACATTTTAAATCAATTGCTACATTTGGCAGACAACACTTCTTGGAAAAAAAATACCTGATTTCTGAGTAATTTTTTTTCTCCAGATGCTCAGGTTATTTGCTTGTCAAAAAATCTTTCACAAAGCCAGTATCTAAGCTACTGCATTTTTAAGTAAGCTTCAGTTATGACAGTGTTACTGCTTTGTTCCTTCAGCCCAGTATTTTTGTTGGCTATTGGAAAAAAGCGATCAAAATTATATCATAATTGCCAGCTCAGACTAGTTGTAGCTATATGATTGTATGATTGAATTTAAAATTCCATTGTGAAAGTTCTGTGATTAGCAGACCGTATAACAATATTCTGGCAAGCTCTATCAATAATACTGATTCTTAATAATACTCAACTGCCAAATACTGTATTTTGCGTTGTAATAAGTGAAACTGACTATTGCCTCTTTTTTCAAATAAACGGCTGAATATTTTTTTGCAATGTCTATGCGTACTTCTTTTAGGGAATCGTCCTTATGTTTTCCTGTCTGCTCGTGTACATCCTGGAGAGACTAATGCAAGCTGGGTTATGAAGGGAACCCTGGAATATCTTATGAGCAATAATCCAAGTGCCCAATGTTTACGAGAATCTTATATTTTCAAAATTATTCCTATGCTCAATCCAGATGGTGTCATCAATGGAAAGTAAGCATAAGTTTACTCACAAATATATATGTGTACTACTAAGTCTTTGCATGTGTTATTAAAAAAAGTAAATAAAAAAAAATCCAACCTAATCCCAGAAACACACAAATAAAATACTTAATATGGAAAAGTCTATGCTTACAAAATTGCTAGGACTTTTCAATTTTTTGGCTTTTTAAAGGCAGATGCATTGCTCAATGAATTTCAGTTTTATAAAAGGTATTTTCAGTTGTTCATGGACGATAATAATTTCTGTGTGATTTTACATAGAATTTTAATTGGCTCTGAATTACAATCTTTATGTGTAGAGTGTTACATGAGAGCACAGCTGCTTTTAGGAAAAGCAAAGCAAGTTCATGGTTCTCATGAAAAATAATAGTTCTTGTATCTGAGCTTTTTATGTAATTTTGCTTTTTTAAATTTTAGTATTTAGAAGGCTGTTACAGAAATAGCTGTTGTCAAATGTTATTAAAAGGGGGAAAGTTAATAGGTGTACAAGGGAAAGGGTAAGAGTATCCTGCTTTAAAGTTATTAATAGTAATTCTTTGACCTTTCTTAATGTACTCAAGGAATATTTCAGAACTTTTTGATACCACTGTGAGTTCCTTCTCACCTAGTTATGGATAGTATTCTAAAACGTTTTCTGAACAAAATAAAAAAACAATTAATAGATTTTAGTAGAACCATGTATTTAAATATGTAAAAAACATGTATATAACGTAACACCTGGAATTAAATCATTCAGCATGCAAGTGAAATTTTTTCATACAGGGAAAATTAAATCCAGCACATACAGTCTTAAGACAAATGTACTGAAGATGACTGCCTGAACATAAATTTCTGCAACTTTAAAATTTCTTGCTGATTGTTGACTGAATGAAGAGATGATGTTTTTTTGCTTGCTGGGTTTTTTGTTTGGTTGGGTTGGTTTTTTTTCTTTTTTTGTTTGTTTGTTTTTCTTACAGCTACTTCTCTCTTAACAACTTCATGTTTCAAGTCTTACATTTCTGGTTGACATTAGTGTTTATATTACAGAAATCAAAACACCAGAACTGTAAAGATACCATATATTTGAAATTACTGATTTTGAAGTAGCATTTGAATAGAATCAGAAGTCGAGTTTCAACAGCGATTCAAAAACATTACAATTGACTTCATATAAGAAGCTACTTCTAATTTATTTTTAGGGTTTTTTTTATGACATAACTTAAAAAAACCCAAACACTTACATTATTTGGCATGTTAGAAAACTGGTTTGTTTCTTACCAGACTCTTCCAAAGAAGCAGTGGTGACAAGGAAAACTTGAGGTGGGGGGAGGCTTATTTAAAAGTATGATAATGCAGACTACATCGTGCGTTTTTCCACCCCCCACAATAGCCACCGTTGCTCTTTAAGTGGAGAAGATTTAAACAGACAGTGGCAAAATCCAAATCCAGATCTGCATCCCACTATTTACCATGCTAAAGGGTTACTTCAATATCTGGCTGCTATAAAACGTTTACCTTTGGTGAGTATGTGTGTGTAAACAATTCTGAATCTCTTTAACCTTGTTTATGTAGCTAGTCTGTAAACTAAATATTTTAATATAGTTTGTAAGCTGCGTCACACTCAAACTTGTGTTGGAGACCTGGTCTTCTGCAAATCTTTAGATCTAGGTCTATTTCCTTTGCTAGGATAGAAGGTTAAACCTTCCTTCAATGAATCCTATGGTTTTTGTCTTAATGCACAGTTAATTATATAAGGAGCTGTGTTATAGTATAAATAACTTTTTTATTTGTTCTTCTCTTGCTTTTATAAAATAGTAATTCCAAATGCCTTGTCTTTATTTTGCTAAATGATTTATTCTAGGTCTATTGTGATTATCATGGTCACTCTCGTAAGAAGAATGTATTTATGTATGGCTGCAGTATCAAAGAGACAATGTGGCACACTAATGTTAATGCTGCTGCTTGTGACCTGATGGAAGATCCTTGTTACAGGGTAAGTTTGACATTTGTATCTTTTTTCACTTGGCATGAATTTGGAATACGCTTTGCAAATAACTTGTATTTACAAATAATTTCCCAATATTATTGTGTGCACATAGCGACTTTATAGCATAAGCAGACTTACTTAGAATGATCTCTTTTTAGCTCATAAGTGTACTTGGAAGTATTTTGAGAGTTTTAAACATTGTATATTGCCATAACTAGGGATTTAATATGAGTAGAGTGCTTCATTTTCGATTTTTGGGAGTTATTTGTACCAGTATGTGGAGGAATTTATTTTTTTTTTTATGTTCAGTGTTACCATTGTACTAAATCTATGGAAAATATGCTTCCGTGTATTTATAACTACTCGATGAGATCATTTATGCATGGCAAACAATATACTAGCAACAGGAAAATAAAATACTGGATTGCTCTGAGAAAGACTTAATTTTGTATATGGAAACAGGGAAGTTGCTCATATAAATAGGTGTAATTAAGGCGTGTACCCCTAATACATATACGTAATAAACTTGCACAAACAACATCCACTACATTGTTTAAGCTTCAAAAAATTCCAAAATTTAAAGAATGTGTTACCGCTGTCTTCTGTCCCATGGAACTCCGCTGCCGCCTTGTGGCAATTGTAAACCTGTGCGTCCTAATTGTAAAACCTAATGCGTCCAAATCCTTTTTTTGGGAAGATCCAAAGTTAAGCTTGAAAAGTGTGAAAATACACGTTAAAACGTAAAATCTATTGTTCTTCATTTTTTTGTGTGTGATTTCCTGGGTGCTGAGTCTGTTGCTATTCTGCTTCTCAACACTTCAGCCTGCACTACCATAGCATACAGAAGACAATAGTCAGTAAGACTTCTGAGAAAAAGCCTTTTGGGTTTCAAAAACGCATAATTGAAATGTTTGGGCAAGCTTATGCTGATAATATGCTACTGAAATAGAAAATTCAAAGTAGCCATGTGCTTTGGCTTAACTGATACATATAAGAGCTGGAAAGAATGAAATAATTTAGCATTACATACATACCTACATTTGCTTAACTGTTTCTTATATTTTTCCAAAGCTGCATTTGTTACACTGGACTTTCATTCACATTCTTGGAAGTTAAATATGCACCTAGTCCTTTGCTAAATATGAATGAATTTTATGTATTAATAACATACTGCCTGTCTTAGATCTGGAAATTGGATTGTTGAAGCAGTCTAAAACTTAATTTAATTAATTATATGGAATATGAAGTACACTTAATTTGGAAAAAAGTTAGCTCGGTGAATTTTGAGGAGATGGTTATCACCTGAAGAATTGTTTTATATCCTGATTGTTACCCACATGACTAACAGTAAATTTCAGTGACTGAGTCTGAAAAAGATTATTTTAGTAAGTAGGAAGTGGCAGACCTGTTGTCACTTGAACACACGGGGCTTTGAAAACTTCAGATGGAGAAATGTTTTTATTCTTGTTTTCTTAATTCAAATTGCAGCAAAATTTTCTGATAACAGTTTGTGATTGCGTATTACCCTCACCCCTGCTTTCATAAGTGGAATAAAAAAATTGCTGTATATTTCAAATTGCTGTCCTGCAGGTACTCCCCAAGATCCTGAGTCAAACTGCTCCAGCTTTCTGCATGGGCAGCTGCAGCTTTGTAGTGGAAAAGTCCAAGGAATCAACAGCACGAGTTGTTGTCTGGAGAGAGATAGGAGTACAAAGGAGCTACACAATGGAAAGCACTTTATGTGGATGTGACCAGGGCAAATATAAGGTAAGAAATATATCAGTCACATTGATCTTGCTTTATAATTTCTTCCATTTGGGTTGGTATCTTGTTCTGTAACCCTGCTTGCTTGCTTTAAGCTTCTAAAGCTCTTCTAAGATCTGTGTACTCTAATGTTGGAATGAAATGACATCATGTATGGTATTACACATTGCATAATAGTCTTCATCTGTCACATAACCATCCTCGACCCCATATGTTGTGCTTATTGGCTGTTTTAACAAGATTAATATTAATTATGGCTTGTAACACGTAAGTATGCATGTAGTTAAAAAAATCTGAACAGTTCTTGCCAGTAGATTATTAAATTGCTTAGTAATGCCAATACTAGAATAAAGATTTCCTTTACACATGACAAATGGCTGTTCATGGTTCTTCAGCAGATATTTAGTAGTGTCCCTTGCAGAATTTTCCTGTGTAGTTGCAGAAACAGGCTTATAAATCAAAATATTTTCATACCAGGTTACCAGGACTACAAGTTATGCATATTTGAACTCATCACAGTTGTTTGACTTCTTGACTTAAAACTTATTTTCAGTTTGTCTCCTTCTCAAGTGTTAACAGGGCTGAATATTTGAAAACAGAAGGTGACCTTGCTTACAGTTTGTCACTAGTAGAAAAGTTATTTCAAAGAAAATATTTGTAGGGGAAAAAAGGAGAACCACCACCCTAATATCTGATCTTTAACTTCTGTCACTGGATACATATTGACGCAAGTTTTCAAAATCAACATTTGTTGAAGAAGGCCCTGTTTCCTCTGCTTGGAAATAGTTTAGGAATGCTAATCAAGCAGATGACCACATGGTCAAATAAGGTGCTTGGTAAAAAGAGGGTCAGAAGGCTAGAACCAAGAGAGGGCAGGGAGCAGAGCAGGAACAAAAAAACCCAATACCAAACAGTTAGAACAAGGTGTATTTAATGTATTAAAGTATGCTCAAGTACCCATCCTTAACTCCCTGGACAGAAGGAAGACAGGTACTTTGGCAGGCATTTCAGTAGGTCTGTAACTACTAAAGGAGTTAATTTTGACAATTAACAACAGAAGCATTCCTGCTTTTGTAAGAATATTCCATTATTCCTCAGATTGACATAATTATGGAGCTTTCAAAATAATAACTCACCAACTTGCTTCTTGAAACTTCCAGAATATTCTTAAACATGAACCTTCATGGCTTTAACAGTGTTGCTACAGAAAGTTCTTCAGAAAGGTGAATTGAAGATACATTGTGGACAAACTTTCAAGATGCTTAGCCTGCAAATGCCCTTCTTCAGTAAGGGAGGGAAAAAATGGCTGAATTCTGTGGGAAAATTGTTTACTTAAAAGGGAAGAGCATTCTTCTATATAATATAAACTACCTGTTGACATCAGATTTTGGTTCTGTCATTTATTTTATTTCAAATAAAACAATTTGTGAGGTCTTAGTCATCCTCTGAACATACCGGAAAATTCTTTATTTTTCCCTCATTGTGGTGAAGCTCGGACTTACTAAGAAAGTGTATCTAAAAGGCCAAGATGAGTAGGCAGAATGAGAAAAGAGCAATGCTTCTCCAGTGAGAAGGTCAAAGAGATGAAACAGTGCAGTCTTTTTTTGCTATTTTTTGTAGAGGGTGTGGAGCTAGCAACTCTGGGTAAACTTGTAGTATAAATTAGATGACGCATTTCACAATGCGTTATTTCAAAACACAGATAGGAGTTAAACTGTAGCGACTCCCTCCCCTCCGATTTCCCACCACAGAGGATATGACTGTTCAGATTTGAGGGACTGGACTGCATGTTTTGCGTAAAGATCTGAAGCACTTTCCCTGTCTTCTGGTTTGCATTATCACTGAATTTTGTTAGTATCGCAAAGAGGATTACTCAATGGTACCATCCTATGTGAAAATAATGCTGAGTCTTTGCCAGAGCTGGATAATATCAGAACATCAATTTTTCTTTTCATTCTTTCATTTTACTTCTGGAAGCAGTCTTGTTTAAAGTGCTTGCATGGGGTCTTTGTAGTGCATTGAAAATTAGTGCTGCAAATACTGGTTAGTCATCTGCAATTCAAGATATTGAAAGGCAAGCGTTTGGATGAAAAGATGCGCCAAGTTCTCCTATGGAGGATAATTAAGATGCCAGACAAAAGAACAATTTCTTCAATAATTCAAACAACCTGAAAGCTGAAATCAGTGGGAACATTGCTTAATTAAGTTAATTGAAAAGATTATGTGGCAATTATATGACGCACATGGAGAGAAGATGTGAGGAGACAATGATTCAGTCAACAGACTTTGTCCATTACTGTGCTTCTTCAATCTCTAGATTTTGAGTTCTCAGAAACTACCATATCTTTGTGGCCTTTGCCAAATAAGAAAGCAGAACAAGAAGATGGTGTTTCACTTGTCCAACTAGCTTCTCCAAATCTTTGTATGGCTTTTTTAAATTTATGAAGTAATATGACAGGAAAATTCACCTCAATTTGAGGTTGCAGTCTGTTGTGCCTTTGTTTTGCATCTTTGCTTTCAGGAAGCAAAGTTCATCCTGAGACACTCTATGTATTTTCATGATGTGGTTAGTAAGGAAGACTTGAACTGGACATCTGAAATGTTAGTCTAGAAAAAAGACAGTTGTATAAAATGTAAAGAAAAAGGAATAAAATTCGGTGCATGTTAAAAAAAAACAAAACAAATGAACCAAAAACCAGCAACTTACATATGCTTTGTGCTTCTAAACAATGCTTGTGACAGTTAAGGGACTTCAATAGGCCACAGTTAAAGGTACTGAAACAACAACTGAAGGTGATTGGGAGATCAAGAAGAGGAGTCTAATGAAGGCTTCAGTGAACTTTACTTCAGGTCCCTTAGGGCAACTGTTTATTATGATTTCCTGAAACAGAATTTGGGTCTGTTTTTCATGGAAATGAAGGGATTTGGCTGATGGAAGAATACCAATGGATTAAGAAATTCAGTATTTCTCAGATGTGTGGCATTACATTCTCCATTATGATATAAAGAAATAACAGAAGCAGATGTGTTTTGGCATGGGCTTTTACTGCAAGTATGCAGGCCTTTCAGTATAGCAAGTTCAAACTTTTATTGTCCAGAAGTTTCACAGTTATCCACCTCCAGTTGGATGCATTTAGGTCTCTCATTAGTTATATCCTCTTTCTGCTGCGCTGAAAATAGCAGCCACAGAACATGCACACGCTATTTATCTTTCTAACAATTGTCTTTGCACTGTCATACTGTACCCTTGTCCGTTTTTGACTTAGATACACTTCCATTATATTGTCTATAAGGAACTGCCAATTAATGATAACTTCTTCAACAGCAGGTGAAGTAAATGATTGGGAAAGTTTCTGAACCATCAACTTCTACACATTAGTAATCTGCGTAACAGTGAGATTACTGTTACCCTTCTTCCTCTTCTGCATACTTGTTGCCTCTTGTCCTTAATGTTATTTTAATCTTTTTGGGCCAGGGACTGTGTCTTCCTGTGATTAGCATAGTGGAGCCCCAGCTATGATTGGGGTCTTCGAATGTTTCTGACGTGCAAACAAATACAAAACAGAAACATAAAATTGGCTTCTGTGGATAAGGTACTGCACTGAGAGTGAGGAGAACTGATTTCTGTTCCCAGCGGGGTCAGTGACATGCTGTGAGACACTGTGCAAATCGCTTCAACCCTCTGTGCCTCCATTTCTCCATCAGTAAAGTGAGGATAATTCTTCCTTTATTAATAAAGTGCTTTGAAACCTACAGCACAAAAGCATTATAAAAGAGGTAAGTAGTATTACTGTTAACAATAATAATCAAATATCCAACTCTTGTTCACTGCTAACAGGTTTCTGTACCATTTTGGCTGCAGGATGGCCCTGTTTAGTATAGTGGATATAGCTTTAGCATTCTTGTTGCTGAAAAACACTTTGTTTACGAAGACTACTAAGGAAAAAACTCACAAGAGCAATAAAGTCAAACTTTCCACTTACTGTGCAAAACAGAACTGCACAAAGAATGTACGAACTGTACCATTTCTGGAACAACATAACACTTCCTTTTAAATCTTGCATTTTAAAATACAGTGTTAGTGTCACAGCTTGTGTGCCCATTTTTTAGCTTATAGTAAAAAAAATCCTACTCCATTCTTTTTGCTTTACATATTTTCCTGCTTTGATGACTTAGCTTACTACCAATTACTGGTTCTCCTGCTTTCCTGCTTGTTTTGTCAAAGCTCCTTTTTAGCTATCCTTTACATTAAGAGGCTTAGAATATCCAAACTAAATTCCTTTCAAATTCTCCTGAGATACAGAAGTTGTAAAGGGGAAGTTTGGGTTCGGTTGTGGCGTTGAATTTTAGTGTATATGCAGTCAGTACTAGCCAATTCTGTAACTGTTGAGGGTCAATCTAGTATATCATTCTCTCTTCATAATGGTAGTTGAGGTTAGAGAATCTGTCTCTCCATACTGCACTGCTGGCTAAATTAGAAATACAGATTTATCTGAAGGAAGGGTTTATCACATATGGAAACTTGGAGAATATCATATAAGTTCTATTTCCTAAACACTCTTTGCAGAGGAAAATGCCTTGGTGTATTATTCAGGTTAGAAAATAGCTATGGCTCTTGATAGTTCATGTTTGTTGTTTTTAATTACTAAATGTGTGAATGAACACTTTCAGAATTAACGCATGTAGCCTCTACATTACAGGAGGCAAGGGATGTTTGTGTCAAGGAGTAACTTTGTTGCCTTAAATAGTCTTATTTGTGTCTAACTTAGCAATGAATTTGATTACAGCTACAGTATGAATTTACTCATCTTCATTCTGGTGGAGACTCTGTTGAGCAATCTTGTATTTGAAATTCCTTTTTATAAGATGTGTCTCAGATTTTTACAATTTATACTTTTAAACTTGCATATGATCTCAGTCTCTCTTCCAATGTCACTGGGTAAAATCCTGTTAATGTGTACACTAGGAAGCTCCAAAGAAATGTGGATGTGTCCAGAAATGTCTGCTCAGCCTTAGAGGAATCCTGCAGTTATTGTCTGAGTTTTCTCTGATACTTTTGAAAGTGTTTACTCTACAATTCTTATTTGTTTTGTCTCTAGAACAAGTGTATTAAATAAAATAACTGTGTGTTTTCCATAGTAATTCTGCAGTATGTGTGGGTCCATCTGTATATACCTATTTTGTATTTTTAAATCTTATTTTTAAATTAGGGATTGCAGATAGGGACAAGAGAACTGGAGGAGATGGGAGCAAAGTTCTGTGTTGGCTTACTGCGTTTAAAAAGAATGTCCTCACCTTTGGAATACAGTCTGCCTTCTAGTCTGTTGGATATTGAAAATGAGCTGATGGAGTCAAGCTGTAAAGTGACAAGGTAACACACATTTATTATACTTACTACTCCTTCCCCCCCCCCCTTCCCCAAGGGAAAATTACCCTTGATTGGAATGTGGAGAACTAAGAAAGACTAGAGCTTGTGTTCATGTTTGGCATTTACAGATAGCAATGAAAAGTGAAGTCTAATCTAAATGGTGATAATAATAGGAGTAACAGTAAAAGAGTGTCTTAAGTGGTTAAAAGTGTATAAAGAGCAGTTGTGATGTATAGATATCTACTACTCGGTGATGGCTGGATCCCCCAGTATCATTTACTCACTAGTACAGGATTAGCATGCTTGTAATGTCCAGATTTTACTGTCAGATCTTCTCTTCTACATGCTTGGTGATGACCTCCAGAATGACCTGTTCTGTCACCTTTCCAGGGATGGTGGCAAGGCTGACTGGCAGGTAGTTTTCTGGGTCGTCCTTCTTGCCCTTTTTGAAGATGAGAGTAACGCTGGCATTCCTCCAGTCACAGGGCACCTCTCCTGTTCTCCATGACTTTTCAAAGATAATAGAGAGTGGCAGATTAACACCTGCCAGCTCCCTTAGCACCTGTGGATGCATCGCATCATGGCGCATGAACTTATGGGTGTTGAGTCTGTCTAGCTGATCTTTAACACAGCCCTCTACAACCCGTGGGAGGTGTTCCTTTCTCCAGCCTTCTTCTCTTACCTCTGCACTCTGGAATTCCTGAGAGCCATCCACGGCAGTAAAGACTGAGGCAAAGAAGGCATTCAGTCATTCTACCTTCTCTGTGTCCTCTGTTACCAAGACACCTATCTGATACAGCAGCGACTCCACATTTTCCCTAATCTTCCTTATGCAGCTGATACACTTGTAGAAGCCCTCCTTGTTGTCCTGGATGTCCTTTGCCAGGCTCAATTCCAAGTGGGCCTTGGCCTTCTTTGTCACATCCCTGCACACCCTGATGATGTTCCTGTAGTGCTCCCACTCAATCTGTCCCTTTTCCACATCCCATACATTTCTTTCTTGAGTTTAAGATTTACTAGGAACTTTCTGCTCCTCCATGCAGGTCTCCTGCCCCCTTTGCCCCTTTGGAGGGAGTGGGGTTTAATATTGACCAGGCCTCCTGGACTCCCTTCTCTTCTACATTCTACTATCTCTGTAGTGAGTTTAAAAAAAGAAAGGCGGGGGGGAAGTGGGGGGGGGTTAAGCTGTTGTCCTGGGTTCAGCTGCAGTAGTCATTCTTAATCCTTTGTGGCTGGTGCATTGCTGAGGTTTTGACTCTCAGCCTGTGAACAACGCTGATAACACCAATGTTTTTAGTTGTTGCTAATGGTCTTTAAGTCTTTTATTCCTTGCATTGGTTGTCAATTAGAATAAATTAATGTAATTACATGCTTTGCTTTAGAAACTGGCCTACTGATTTTCCATTTCTGTAGCATACTAGTTTAATGGGAAGCACTACAGAGTGAGAGAACAGAAAATCTGTTTCCACCCAGTTATGCCAGGGGCTAAGATCATCAGGTAACTGTGGAAGGCAGCTGTCTTGCCCTAAACTCCTGGAACAGGAAAACATAGTGTCCTGGGTTCAGCAGTAGCAGTCATGTTTCTCCTCCTTGGTAGCTGGTGCAGTGCTGTGTTTTGACTTTCGGCCTGGGAACAGAACTGATAGAGATGTTTGGGTTTGGCCAAGGACTTTGTGAGCCTCATGCTCTGCCAGGGAGGAGGGGAAGCCAGGAGGAAGCAGAGACAGGACACCTGACCCAAACTGATCAAAGAGGTATTCCATACCACAGTGCGTCATGCCCAGGATGTAACTGGGAGTTAGCCGGAAGGGCTGGGAGACTGCAGGGTTGGAGGAGGTATCGGTCGGAGCTTGGTTGGGCTTGGGGGGGCGAGTGATCGGTTGGCTGGTGCTGAGGTGTTGTATTCTCTTCCCTTGTTATTTCCATTATCATTATTATCACTGGTGGTAGCAGTAGTGATCTCTGTTATACCTTAGTTACTAAACTGTTCTTATCTCAACCCGTGGGAGTTGCATTCTTTTGATTCTCCTCTCCATCCCTCCGAGAGCAGGGGGAGGGCAAGAAAGGGGGGGGGGGAAGTGAGCGAACGAATTACCTGACTGGGTTTAAACCACGACACATAGATACAGGCAGTTTTGTCTCATGGACAGGGATCAGCTCAAGGAGGAAAAAAAATCAATTTCTTATGTATTGCTTTATATATATTGTCAGGGATTCTGAATATGTATTGTCTGAAGGTAATCTGGTTAGGATTCTTATATATATGAGAGGCTTACTGTCTGTCAGACATTTCAGTTGTTCTTTGGGATGAGATGTAAGTGTTGACAGAAGAGGCCAAAATTTGAGAAGTGAAGAATGTAACTGCTAAGGAAGTGTATAGATTTTTTAAAAAGTTGTACAATGCACCTCAGGTAGATATATTCCTTGACATAAAGGTGAAGAGCAAGGGGCAATATTTTATGCTTTAAAGCTCTTGAGGGAAATCACCAGATGAAATTCCATCTTTATGATAGAGGAAGTCCTACTATGGCAAATAAAGTCAATCATTTTGGTTACAGTTTTTCTCATAAGACCCTTATCAAAAAGAAAAAGAAAAAAGGAAAACTACGCAATGGAGAAGGAGGGGAAAACATGATAGCTATGATAGCTGCCTTCAAATACGGAAAAACAGATGCAAAGAGTCCGTTCTCTCTAGAGCAAGCAGGACCAGGATTAATGGCCTTAAATTACATGGAAAAGTCAGTCTAGACTTCAGGTAAAAATTCTATATGGCAAGAAAAAATGAAGTTCAGAAATAGTCATCTGGGGAAGTTTCGAGTCTCTACAGGAGATGAAGAGTAGTATAGAAATATGAAAAATGGGTCAGCCCTTCTGTGGACAGCTAGAAGCAGCCTCTTATTTGCAAGCCCTTGTCCCCTTGGCAGACTTCAACTACCACAGCATCTGCTGGAAGACGGTCACAGCAAAGCATAAACAATCCAGAATGTCCCTGGATTGATGATATTGATGACAGCTTCTGGACCCAAGTGACACAAAAACTCACAAGAGGAGGTGCTTTGCTGCATCTGGTACTCACAAACAAGGGTGCACTGGTTGGAAAGTGAACACAGAATGCAGTTTTGGCTGATGGAGTTCAGGTTCATGTTCCCAAAAGGGGAGGGAGCAGGGAAAAGATCACAACCCTGAACTTGAGGAGAGCACATTGGAATTGGGGGCCCAAGAAAACTAGTGGATATTCAAGGACTACATCCTGCAAGCAGTATTCAGGGACCACATCCTCCAAGCTCAAGAGCAGTCCATCTCCATGAGCAGGAGCTTAGGCAAAAATGCCAGGAAGCCTGCAAGGGTGGATGAAGAGCTCCTGTCAGAACTTAAACATGTCAAGGAAGTGCCTTGAAGGTGGAAGCAGAGACAGGTAACCTGGGAGGAATATAGAGGCAATGTCTGACTATGCAGAGACATGGCTAGGAAAGATAAGGTCTACCTGGAGCTGAATCTGGTATGGGATATCAAAGGCAACGAGCAAGCTTCTCTAAGTATGTAAGTAGGAACAGGAGGACTAAGGAAAAGCTAAGTCCACTGCTGAATGGGGTAGGAGCCCTGTTGACACAGAACGTGAAAAAGGCTGAGGTACTGAATACCTTTTTCACCCTAGTCTTTACTAGCAAGACCAACTTTCATTAGTCAAGGACCCAGAGACTAGAGAAAATCTGGAGCAAGGAAGAATTAGTAGGTGGTGCTACACAGCAGTAGTAAGAAGGAAAAAAATAATTCTTACAGCTGAACCCAGGACATGGTGGAAGAGGAACAGATTGGAGAATACTTAAGCAAACTGGATTTACTTAAGTTTACAGGTCCTGACGAGGTGCATCCAGGAGTCCTAAGGAAGTGCTCTAATGTCAGTGTGAGGCCACTGTCTATAATCTTTGAATGATCATGGTGATTGGGAAAGGTGCCTGCAGACTGTAGGAAAGCAAATGTCATTCCTGTATTCAAGGAGAGCAAGGAAGACCCACGGAGCTACAGGCTGGTTGGCCTCAGCTTGATTCCTGGGAAGGTGATGAAACAACTAGTCCTGGAAAGGTTCTTCAGCCACATGAAGGAGGAGATAGTGAATAGGCAACACAGATTCGCTAAGGGGAGTCATGCTTCCTGATAAACTTCTGCAATGAAATGACTGGCTTGGTAGATGTGGGGAATGAAGTGGAAATTGCCTGCCTTGACTTTACTAAGCCTAGTGATATCCTGGGCTTCATTAGGTGTGTAGCCAGCATGTTGATGGATGTGATTCTTCTTCGCAGCACTGGTGAGGCCACACCTGGAGTGCTGTGTCTGGTTTTTGGTTCCCCAGTAGAAGAGGTACAGAAAAGATGCAGCCATACAGGAGAGAGTCCAGGGAGGGGCCCCTAAATTGATCAAGGGACTGAAGCATCCCCCAGAGGGGGAAAGGCTTAGAGAGCAGGACTATTAGTCTAGAGAAGAGAAGGCTCAGGGAGTGTCTTATCAAAGTGGACAAATACCTGAAGGGAGGTAAGGAATACAGAATATTGTAAGGAATACAGAACTCTTTCTGATGGTGTCTGGTAACAGACTAGGAGATAAAGAGCATAAACTATATAGGAAATTGCATACAGTTGGTTCCTGTTGAGCTTCTTGTCAACCAACACTACCAAGTCCTTCTCAGGGCTGCTGTCAATCCATTCTCTGCCCAACCTGTAGCTATGCCTGGGATTGCACCAACCCAAGTGCAGGACATTGCACTCGGCCTTGTTGAACTTCATGAGGCTTGCATCAGCCCACCTCACAAGCATGTCATGATCCCTTTGGATGGCATCCCTTCCCTTCAGGGTTTCAACCGAACAACACAGCTTGGTGGTGTTGGCAAACTTGCTGAGGGTGCACTCAATCCCACTGTCCATGTCACTGACAAAGATGTTGAATGTAATCAGTCCCAACGGAGACCCCTGAGGGACACCACTCGTTACTGGTCTCCCATTGGACAT